TGAAGAGTTGATCAATGCAGCCGCGACCAGGTCGAAATTCAGCTTGTTCTTCTCGCTGCAACGATTCGCGCATTGGGGATAGCCTTCGAATTATGATGGACATCAGCAGCTTGCATACGACGGGGACTAAGTGTATGCCTCTGTAGTTGGAGCAGATTGTGCGCAGGCCGTTTTTGAAGATGGGGACGACTATCTATTCACCCCAAGATAATGGAGCAGAGAACACGTGTTATTTAATTGTTCATTTGTTCAAAAATATAAGTTAGCATGACATAACCACCATAAAGTGGAGAAGCGTGACGTCCATATGCGCGTTAAGGACAGCTACGTCTATAGAATACGTTTTAACTATGTGTGAAACCATACGTTCTGCGGACAGTCTTTTATCCTGCCCTCCATAGATTGTTGCGCCTCTGTAAAGCCACACGGGCCTTGCTGATACACGAAATAACTTCCTCAGTGAAGTGACCACCATAAGTGACGCAACAACCAAACTAAATGGCTATTGGTAGTGGCGTATCTATCCAGTCCTGCAATTTTGGAGTTGCAGAATCCATGCTGGTAGGCGCAGCGCTAAGCGTCAATCTATTCAGTAGTGCTTGAATAGCCACTGTTTCCTACCCAAGGAGAGTTATGTTGTCCGAATACTCACAGTTTGTCAGTCGTTCACTTGTCAGAGTCTGCAAGATTAGGTCCTTTATGAGCATTTCGATCACAAAGTTGAAGTAGAACAGTGATTTAGGACAATGCTGACGAACCCCACTTGTTGTGGGGATCTCAGGAGACAGTTTCCCGTAGGCGCTTTCACAGCCTCGGCGGTCACCCTAGAGCGATTTCAAAACGGGAAGGATTTTTATGCGGCACATCCTTCACGGATAGACAGGGCGATAAGCTATCTCGATCAGCAGATCCGAAGGCGGCGTTTAAGGAAAACCATTATAGTCGGTCTTCTGTGTTTGTGCCTCGAGGAAAAGTAATCATGCGATCGATACACTCACTACCAGGGCGGAAGCAAACCTGGATCTAGCGAAAATCAGTAGTAAATCATCGCAGGATGGTATCCGTGAGACGTTTATAGACCATCTAAAGAAGTGTAATGCTTCGATGGCTCTCGCACAAAGTTCCTCGAACATTTTTGAAGATGGGCACAACAGTTGATCTTTACCATTTTGAAGGCAACTCTTCTATGTCCCAAATAGTGTTGATTAGAGCAGCAGGTCCAGTCTGCAAAGACTCAGCTCCATCTGTAAGCAAAGATGAAGGAAGGCCATCGGATCCAGGAGCCTAGTTAAATTACAACACAACAGCCTCATATTAAAACTCTCCCAAATGGGGGGGGGTTTGTAACCAGATAATTTCCCTGGGAAGCCTGGTCGTCGTCACATTCGTGAAAGTCCCCATTTTCTATGACCGTTGCCAAGTCAGCTGATTTCGTGCTCACTTGTTATCATCTGATGCATCTGACTGGCGTGGATCATGTGGCTTTTCAAAACGTCGGCCTTTCGCTTATTAGTTAAGGGAAACTTTTTCAACGCTGGGTGTGGCCAGTGTTGCTTGTTTGGATCATGGGCACCTTTCCACGTCACACTAAAAACCTTAGGAAACTGACCTCGACTGGACCACCCCATAACTGATGGGAGCAATGTTATGATGGTGAGCAATGTTATAGTCCATCATTTGCCAACAGACTTCATCAGGTCCCAGTGGGATGGCATATCAAATCGAATCGTGCTCTGTATACCTGCACGCGGGTCACTTCGGCTTTTGTTGTTCGGCACTACTGCACCTACTTTGATAGAAGCCCGAAGTGGCCAGTCAGTGGCATGGCGAAGAAACATGCAGGCGCTCACCAAAGGGTTGAATCGATTTGGTGCTTGTTGTCTTCCTGAATGGGGTCCCCGGGATGAGCATCTGGGTTTAGACGCATTATGGAATGTGGCGCTTCAGGGCATCATTGGATCCATTGCATTCGTTCCTCTGATCATTCTGTCTGATAAATTATCTTCTAATGCGTGGCGAGCGATTTTAAGCCGGCCAGCCTAACGAGCATCGGTGCGTGGATCAGATTTGATAGTGCAAACCGATTCCCATTGTCAACCCTATGGGCTTATCTGTCAATGACATGATGCACAAAGGAACACCTGGACTATTCCCACTGTGGTTGAACCACCTGAGGTGACATCACGAACTGTTACTGTAATGACACCGTGGTTCAAGTCTCAGGTAACGCGGTTATCGCCTCTGTTCGCCATAAACTCCCACTTCAATCACACACGGATGCACCTGGTCTTGTATCAAGGGCGACACGTTACCAAATTGCTATACCATCTGATTGTTTTCAAACCTCTCTGAACTCATGACTATTCGATCGGTTCCAAGCATCTTCCAAGAATTCGGAACTTACGTTCTTTTTCATTCCTCTGGCGCACTCAACGTATCTTCTAAATTGTTAACTTTAATGCGCTTATACTTTGTATATTCGGCAATAGTAGTGTTTCCTTTAGATTTTCACGAACTATGTGGCAATCTTGGGGCTCCGGCAGCTGTTTTTGACGATATGTTGTTGACAAGGCGTAGGTTCGTTTACCCTGAATGTTTAGGGTATTAAGGTTCTACGCGAGACCTTATCTCCCTCTTATTATTATTCGGCCTATAGGTCACTGTGGTTGTACGGTAGTGAAGCATCATTTCCAACGGCTGTTGAACTGCTATTGATGATGCGGTGCAGGTGCCAACTGTTTTACACAAGAAAACGCGTCAATCCGTAACCACTCCGTTCCAGGATTCTTGTGCTGTACGCAGCCTCTCGACATAACATTGTTTTCTTGTTATCGCCTGTTGCTAGGACTTGCAGTATTCTCCACTTAGCAGCGATGCTCTCACACTGCCACTTTTCTGGAGCAGACTGGTCATTTTTAAGAGGTGTAGTCGCTTAACGCGACTATATATTTACAAAATTTGGTTGTCGGAGCGCGCACGGTTCTATCCACAACTCAGTGTAGTTCTGTAAATAAGCCTATCTTGCATTCTTCCAATTAACACCAACGCTATTTACCCTACTAGCAATATATCATCTTCCTTATCTTATTTCTTCTTTCATTTATCCAATCCTAACTGTGTCTGACTCCAACTTGCCGGTCCGTAGTCCTAAGGATCACATGCTTGCCTTGCAATCCAAAGGCGCGGGTTCGAGCCTGCGTAGGTGACCGGATAACCCTCGCAGTATCCTTAGCCCACGCGCGATCGTTGGTGATCGCACGCAGCGAAGCTACGGTACTGCATACCAGCGTACCGCTGATGCCATTCTGATATATGGGAGGTCTTATGTAGTGAGATATTGGACATCAGTATCCTTACACTCACACTGCAGGTGCGTGTACATTTTGCACCTGACAGTCCTCCCATCAGCCTTCATGATACGACGATCAACATGCATCCACATGACAGCCCCAACGAAGTCTTCTTTGTCCCATACCAATGTTCGATCCCATCACCTCCACTACCTAGTGCAAATGAGACTGAAGAAGTAAGAGGGTCAACAGCTGGCAATGGCAACCACGCGGAGCAGTTATCGTTCCCCCGCCTGTTGTTGCTGCTACCCTAAAGTCATTTCATCCAAGTCACCACTCTTTGATAGCACCTGGTAGTTTGGGGAACGTAAGATGCGAGACCGAGGCTTGGAAGGCCCGTAAAGCGCCACCCTCGACTAGGATGGGCAATCCAAAAATTGGTGCAACCCATTCTGATGGAAGGTAAACTTGGCCCCAGTCGAAGTGAATGTGGATTGGTCGGGATTACGGCAAACGAGCGCGGACCAGCGAGCCCGAGCGGACTACATGGGACGGACAGCAAGGACAAACCAGTGAAATGGTTTACAATGGGATAATGGCTCAAACTTATATTCGGTTTACAGGGCTCTTGTTTTCACGTGTAACAAATGTTTCGTCACCACACCGACTTCATTTTGACTACCGACACTTTGCATCCGTCAACTGTGTTTCATACACCGATGTGTGTTTGCTCTTGCCACACAAAATCTCGTCTCATTGGCCTTGTTATCATCATAATCATTACATGTTCTGGACTTCACCTGTTCTCCGAGCTTCGTAATTGGTTTGCAAACGTTTCATCACCAAACGAGGTGACTTCCTCAGTGCGCTATTGCCCTCCGCTGATTTGATCGTCGATGTGTGATCGACTAGCAGGTGACTTTTGTATTGGCCTCAATCGGTGCAGTGTAACCTTCACTTGTTTGGCTAAAGGTGAGAAACACCTTAGCTATTGTGTCGCCATACAAGTAGATATGATAATTAAAAGATAACGTACAAAACATTATAGTATACAAACTAAGAACCAATAACCAAATAGTATTATGATTCTAAGGAAGTAGTAGAAGGTGTTGCATGGTATAAATTGAAATTCGTCACATCTAGTCTCACTCAGACGGCCATTCCACTCCCGGTTGAGCACTGTACTGCCGTCTTAACCTTTCGGGCACCGTCATCATTGGGGCTCGAACCCGCATCTCGACTGTCGCCAGTCTGTGCTTGAGACCACTGAGCTACGGGGGACAGCAACGTCCATCGTGACAAAGTCACTAGACGTGATATAGCGCCCTACAGTGCTTTTCCAGGCATGTGCTAACTACCTTACTGAGTCTAGATGGTATAGACAAAATAGTATATCGTATTATGCTTCCGAAGTGAGATCGTGTTCGGAGAGGAAGATTAGCGGGAGATGGAGGGACGAAGTAACTCACAACTTAAACGCCATTGTGATATGCTTTTGCCATGCCAACTAATGCAGGCAATCAAGCGTGTTCATCGTCCTCTTGTTGTTGTTTTTCTTATCCGTATTTATTTCATTCCTGGACTTACACCTTAACACCGTATTGACATGAATTGTTACACAATGGGCCATTCATCCTTATGTTTATGCTCACTTCCGAACTAAACTGATCTCAGTACTATTACAGCGATTTTTTTCCCGTGTGTCCACAGGTTATACGCACCGGCGGGTGTGGCTACAAAGTCGTCATGTTGCTCGAAGGTCTGGCCCACTTGTATTTGTTCCCCAGCGGGGGCACAAAACGCTGGGACACTTGCGCCCCCGAAGCTGTGCTTAGTGCTGCCGGTGGTCGTATGACCGATTTGCTCGGTCAACCCTATGACTATCGTGAGACCGACGACCCGGTCAACCACCGTGGACTCTTGGCCACCCCCGTGGCCGATTGGCTTCCGATTTACGCGAGCCGAATTCCCCGTAGTGTTGTAGACTCTATGAGGCCGTCGTAAAACCATCTTGCTCTGTGGCAGATGCCCATGTCCCGGGATTCATTTTTGTTGTTGCGAATAATATGCACGTCCCAGGCTGTGCCCCAGTCTTGATGTGATCGGCTGGCGATGCTCTTTCAATTTCATCACTTCGCTCGTTTCACCTTTTTGCTATTTCGAATTGTTTTCTCGTTATTTCTGCTTATTTCTGGCGCATCTGCGATGTTTGCCACTTAGCTTTCTACCAAGTTATGTACAATCACTTGACATAGACCCTCAGGGATTACTGTTACAAAGTCTTGGCAATCCCCATTATACTTGTTGGTATTTCTTGCTCTCCGGAAAAGCGCATCTTTCCACATAGAAATTTTCTTCACGTGTGATCCATATTCTTTAGTTAAAACAGAATTTATGGCGTTTTTTCCAGCCTGTCTTGTTTTTGTAAGTGGGAAGTGCCCGGAGACATAAATTCGGTTGTTTCCATTTGCTCTCCATACCGAGCCGGCTGCAATTTCGCAGGCCTTATATTATCTGACCAGTCGGCTTTTCTCAGCTGGTAAGCTTGTTCTCCCTTTTTCGATTATCATTTACTGGTCTGACTGTTGCAACTCTCCTGACGGATGGGGTGAAGATGAATATTTTGTTACGAAGAACATTTGCATCTTATCTGAACAACCGTGACACCTTTTCCTACAGAACCCCGTTGAATTGTTAGTTCATCACGGCGCCCTCCACTGGCTGCCTCCCCGTTTTTTCCACCAATCTGCGAGTTTTTTTCTATTTACGAGGAAGGATGAATTTCATTAACGCTTTCAGACGGGCCATTCCTCTTCACCGTATTCGCTCAGAATGATTGGAATTAATTCTACACACGTTGATTTCCTTTCAACCTGATCTCTTATCATTGAATACCAAACTGGTCATTTGCATTTTTTTCACATGTTACTGGTTCTAAGTACTTGCGCATTTCAGGAGAAATCAATCTTAAGCAACATATTGGGGTAATGTTGTTCCATGCTTAACTGTGGACACTGCCGTTTGTGCGGCTACTACTAACACGTTTAATAACCGAACAACACTCTTGGAATCTTACGCAGCCTACAGCCTTGTTGCGATGCTTCGAACTGTAGATCCTGTAGGATAAGAATTGAGCTTTGTTGATCCCATAGGTCAAGCACAATTGATCACAATGTCAAGCTCTCTACACAGTTAGGGGACATTCCATTTTGTCAGCGAATCTCAAGTTTCGGGACATGATTTCTTGCGGAGTATTCCCGGTGTCCGCAATCATGGAGTAAGCAGGGGAGCACTAGGCAGTGTTTATCAAGTCAGTTTTGTCAATCTGCATCTCAGGCTGTATAAGTTGCCGTGGTTCAGGCACGCTCTGAACGTGCCCACTTACATGATGAGTCTTATTTCTCGGAGTAACACAACGATGGAAGGGGGCAAAGTTGACTTGGCAGCAGGTAACGGACCTGCCGACTACTCGACTGACTTGCTGATCTATCTCGCCTTGTGCTTGGCTCGAGCCTGAAAAACATTGCTTGCAGCCTACACCGTTGAAGCGTTTACTGTCGACTCCTAGTCAAAGTATCAATTTCTGCACTATCTGCTTAGAAATCCAACGCTGTTAAGCGGGTGCCATACCGATGCTGCCCTATCCTCTCACAATGATCAACTGTTTGTGACACTTAGATTTTATGCTAGACACATGCTTCTCCCCTTTCACCAATGCCTCATTCGTAGACACCCCCGCTGTGGTTGTAACGACAGCGCAATATCAACACAGTGTGCTTATTTGATGTTGCTTATGGAGCTGTCGAATAGTATCATTATTTTCACAACTGAGGAAGGTCCGATAAGGCTCCTAGACATTTACTCAACCGGTCTGCGTTCATCCATCCAAAACAACAGTGTACTACAGTCCAGTGCATTTTTAGAAAAATTATCGAGCTGCCACTCCCTGTCTTCATCTATACCGACGTCACATCTAGAATCAACCTGGTACCTACTTGGCTCCGAATGCTACGTTGGCTTGCTATGTCATCTTTTGTTAGGACTCCGCGGTTTTATCATAAATCTGAGCGCCCATTGAGATGAACGTGAGTTATCCACCTCATACGCTGCCAACGTGGTAGCGTCTACTTGATTAGTGCCCACAAATAACCGAACCTCAACTAATGGGTCTGGCGCAACGAGGTCGTGTTGAATACTGGTCACCGCGTATGTACATTTCTCTGCAATGCACTCTCAGTTTGGCTTGATCACGTTGTTTCTACTTAGCGATAAACTTTTAACTATTCTCGCTAGATTCACGTTTTTCGAGAAAATTCCCCTTGTCTCACAAATAGGTTCAATGATGTATCATATTATACAGGGCTTGTGGAAGTCTGGTGGCTGCCGGAATCACCAACAGTACGGAGAATTTGCGGGTCAACTCGGAGAATGAGCTTACTGTTCTGATAGACACCATACATCGAAGATCACGAACAAAATGCATAGACTACGTGGCTGAACGATTTTTATGTTTGTTTGACAGTGAGTTCCACACTTGAGTGGGCAGCAGTGAACCATTAAAAGTTGTTAATCTCATACATCGCGTTCGTTTGCTAATGGCCTTTATACGTGCCGTATTGTTGACGTGAGTAGCATCTGCAACGAAAACAAATCCAAAGGATCCAGAATTGTGGGCTTCATCCAAGCAAATTGTGTCGTAAGGTCCAATCTTCAGTAAACTTTATCCCTTCGAGAATATAGTTATACCGTAAAGCAGTTTATGAATTGAGCAACCATGTCTCACCGGATCCACTGGAAGACAGATTCTTCCTGCTTGTGAGTGATTCGTTACATCTCATCCGCTATGCTGTGTGAGTGCCGTTGTGCTTTGAACTTCGTTAACTCTTGTTACCATTCTAATGCTGATGGTCATCCACGAGAGAGGAGAAGGCCAAGCGCAAACCTGGCACAAGTCATCCAAACACATCAGCTAGGAACACCGCACAAGCTTCTCTGCCCTGCCTCTAGCATTGATGGCTAGCGTTAAGCTAGGCAGCGAAAACATGAGTCCTCGAGAGAGTTGACAGGTATGTGCATCCTGTGGGGCAAATCTGACATTGCGTCTAGACCAAGGCTGACTGCAATGCGTTAGAAATAGTTATGGCCCCGTCGAATCAAGACAGCCTCTCATTTCCTCTGAGACTCAAATGTTTTACTCCATATATCCCGTAGTATCTTTCCGATTTTAATTAATGCGGCGATTGTCGTCATACTTTCTAAACTAGCCCATATCTCAGGGCCAACTCTGTAATCGTTTGAGTGCGTACTGCTCACGGAATGCATGTCTTCCTATGTGTAATGTCGCATTTAGCTAGCGGACTTTCGACCAATTGGCCCGAACGGTTTTTCTCTCAATTTTGATTCGATAGTGCGTCAGATCTTTCCTCATGCCTTTTGGTCTTATCAGGTATATGCCAGATGCACTACTGTGTACCGTCGCTGACACGCTTCTGATTGGGTCAGTACTCTGCTGAAGGTTGTTTCTTGGTGGCCATCATTACACAAGGCTGAGTGTGATCACCGCACTCAACTCTTAGCCAGAAGCCTCTCACACATCCGGAGAAGCATTAGACGGCCGTTTCGACCTACTGGGCCTCGTCAGTAGCGCGCGTGTTCCGGCTGCTTAGTGCTTCTTCGGAAGTGTGGATGGCTTGGCTGACCACGATGAACATTTTGTAAATTATACCAAAATCCCGTAAACTTAAGTCCCTACGCAACTGTACCGACGAAATCGCAGTCATTGAGTCACGCGTCAAAAAGATCCCGAATTATACAAACCGCAACGTAGATTCGAAGTCTATGGTGCTATTTACGGGACATTGCTAACATGTCAAACGAACCTCATTTAGTGTCGGGCAACAAACACACCAATTCGTCACTCCATCATTCTTCCGAGATGCAAATGAACTGTTCAGAGCTGGTCAGTCGATGAGTAGACAGGCACTGAAGATGCTGATTGTGAGATAGAATATGACAGACACAATCTGCGTAATTAGTGGTCAGCGGTTCGGAAGGTGGTGTGATGCTCGCCTGTCTGTGAACGGTTGTGGGAGCGTTCGACGTGGATGCGGAGTCGTAGTAATGACATAGGACTACTTGGGCAGACAAGCATACGCGAAAACGCAGAAGCGGGACAACCATGCCGGAATGTCAAACACCTGCGGAATTGTAAAGCGCAGCGTAGATAGAGATCACGCGAATTTCACGCAGCTTGCAAACATCACTAAATATCGACTTGTTTCATGCCGGAAATGAGTGCTTCGATGTTTCCTGCTTTGTCGGATTTTATCTGCTCTGGCACTCAAAGTATCGTTGTAGCTCCAGTGTTTTGTACAGATGCTTCACTACTGCGGGGCGGAAACGCTATCAGGACGCCTAAACCAAGACAACCGCGGGGACTTGAACCAGGATCCTATCGGTGCGAGTCAAGAACCTGAGCCACTACACTACACACATGGCACTCCGAACGGTCTGTCTTTGGGGCGTGTAAATGCACCGTTCCCTTGGTCGATGCAGTAAATATCACATTAGTCAGGTGCGGATTTGCTAACAGAAAATGGATTTGTCCGTTGGAGCATGCGGAGCAAAAAGGCACACCAGATTCTTGTCGATAACGGTATACTGTGGCTGAATACTCACGCCGTGACACCCAGAAGATTTCGATGATGTTGGGCCGAAGTTTGCTCTGAGTACGATGTAGACACGTACTACTGTTACGGAGGCGAAACAGCTGACTACGATGGTGTACACTAGCGGGGCGAGATCGGCCAGATCACGTAAGTGGCTGACAGGCTCGTTGTCATGGTCAAACCGGAAGCTGGCGAAATCAGACCGTCGTCGTCGCACGGGTTGCTATGTTGCGGACGTGATCCTACCTAGAGTCAGAGAGAGATGGCCGCTACCAGAGTCGAATATGTTCAGACTAGCGGTGTGACTCACCTCGGTGATAGAGGCGAGGTAAACGCATGTGACCTATAAAAGTAACCATGTTTTGTGCCTAGTATACTTCGGTCTGGCAGGCTCTGCGTTTTGTTTTCCCCGGCTGGTTGGTATCGCAGAGACCAGAGAGGCAAAAGGGCAGCGTTTTAACAGCTACACGATGATATTCACCATCATAACCAAAGGCTTAATGGTGTTGAAACCGGACACAGGTACTGCTGGAGTGGTCATTGTGGATAAGCCGAATTATAAAAATAAGATGGAA